TTATTATTATTTGATTATATATTAAATTAAAACAGCTGCCTTTTTCTGTAAAAATGACTGAGAGGTGAAAGTATGGTACCAAAATTCACAGGAAACACAGGCCTTTCATATGGTACAGATAAAATTGACAAACAGCTACTTTGAAAATTTAGTTTCTAGTACCTAGTAGGGGGGCCTACAATGCTAACCCATTGTTGCATTTGACGTTAAGACCATTCTCGTTAAAATTTTGTTTTGTCCATAAGCTTTTTTTTTCTGTTAATGAATAGTTTTCTACTTCTGCGTATTACCTGCTTGTAGTGGCATAGCCAAGATAACTGCCAAATTTCAAGTCTCCACCTCAATTCTAAGACCCCCATTGCAATGGATGTTGCTAAACTTTGGAGCCCATTTTCTCCTTTTCGTGTTTCCGCACCTTGCAAACTTAAAAGTTCCATATTTTCATCAAATATTGTCTTATTTACTTTGACATTTTTTCCAAATTGTAGTGAAATGCTGACAGTTTTTGGAAATTATGTTAACTAAATTTTGAAATTTCCTTCATATGACTGATTTTGACAGGGAGGGTCACATTTGTGAAGACCATGATAAGATTGGAGTTTTAGATTATGTTCTGTTTTGCTCTGTCATCTAATGAATAGAAAAGTGTCAATTTTTTTTTCTTAATTGTTTTTCTTTCTGTCTTCTTCAGGATTGGGCTTTTCTCACCCGCTTCTGCTTCCTCACACAGCAGGGATCTCTCTCCTACGACTTCAAGTACCCAGTGGTCAGTACTCTTTGGGATTCTCAATTTGCTTAAATGTTAGGCAGATCCAGATTATCGGAGATGGTCAAAATTTGCATGAAAATTGAGGAGTTAGTTTATTTTTGTTTTAATTGGAATAATGAACATTTCTGTTGTGCTCCTCATACACTTAAGTTACATTTCCTTTAATCAAAGGAGTGTTTATAAATTCTTATTTTGATTGAGTGTATGCTGTATGTATGGGTTTAGTGCCCTTGTCTATGTTGTGAGGGTCTTTGAAAAGTGCAACTGCGCAAGTGATGTCCATCTTCGATAGGAATGAGCTGGGTTGACGAAGGGATCCAAGTTCAAGCAGGCTTTATTGGGGATTTGAACCAGGCTCATCCGCCTCATTGTTGTGCATGATACCAGTAGAGCTAATGGCATGCCCTGCCCTAGGCCTTCTCAGTTCAGGCCCTGTATCTCAGACGGTTGGCTCCGGCATTGGAGGCCGGGGTGGACGACCTTACCTTGATAATTTCTCCTCGAGACCGGTCCTTATCTTATCGAGGGTCAATGCGAAAAGCAACGATGAAATGCGAAAAGCGGCGACAGGCAGATGCTCTAATACTAATACGTATTCAGCTGATGGAACATTCTTGCTTTACGCTTTTGCATGTCGATAGTGTAATGTGTAGGGAGTAGCCGTCTAGTCTGTCAAATCTCCTAGCCTCTTCATTGTTTCATTCAGTGCTATTGGATGTACAGGGTATTTTTTTGTTTTGATGTATTTTCTCTACACTCAATTCTAAGGATTAAATTTGTGCTTATATTATGTGTTTTAGTGTTCAGCCCAGATTCTAGTTTTCTTTCATCTTGAATGTTATTGTTACTAGAATCTACTGTTACTATGAAAAAGTTTTCAGCTGACATCTCAGTTTCAGCGCAATGAACCGTGTGAGCAAAATTTGAATATGGGAAGAAAGTGTAGGGGATGGGGTAGTAGAAGTGGTTATGCCAGCCGAAAGGGAGATAGCAAAATAACAATAATATAGAATTCCAAAAGATTCAGAAAAAAGCACAGTGTATCAAAAGTGTCCCAAATGAATTAATGGTAGAAGATGTCCCTGATCAAATGGGAGTGTGGTCTCTGCACTTCCCACCTGATGTACCTTTTGCACGTGCTGGAAGATTTATGGTATCCACAGAGCCTCCATCATTATTTCCAGAAGTACCACCGTCATGTTGTGGCACACCAGCTCCAAAAAAAAAAGAGAGCAACTACAAAAAATTAGCTTCTAAAGCTGTTGATATTGATGAAATGAACATTCTGAGAGAAAGAGATGCCTTCAAGTTCTATTCATTTTTATCTAACAATGGAAATGAAACTGATAGGCATTGGTAATTTTGCAAAGAGTAAAGATTATAATACATTTGTTTTCCTCAGCAGAACTCGAGATGGCCCTACTGTTTTTGCTTTTTTCATGTATTTTACAATTGTTCGCCATTCCCAGGACCACGTGAAAGAGGTTTCATTTGAAGCTTCACAAACTGAGTCGCATCAGGCATCCATGCTTCACTAGTGATGTTGTCATATGCTAGAGTCAGTTACATGAAATTTTGCACTTCGGGTGTAGCCTTCCAGAGAGACATTGTTGGCCTACTTGTTGTTGTTGTTGTTTTTGTTTTGTTTTTGTTTTGTTTTTTGTTTTTTGTTTTTTTCCCTTTTTTTTAAAAACCACTGAAAAGACTGTGCAGAAATTGATTAGCGACGATTTTGTGGGACTTTCCAGCGATATTCCATCTTGATATTGTTATCGCAAGCTGATGCGGTTGACAAATATTTTCTTGAAAAGATTTGCTGAACAAAATGCCTCGTGAAATGAAGGACAGGCGAAGAAAAAAATAGCGAAGCTGTCATCCCGATCATGCAAACAGTAACTTTTTCAAAGGTAGGAGAAGGCTTTTTTATCAACAGCTGATTGGGTTTGGTTACTTGTACTCCATCTAAAGAGCGATATACATATATATATATATATATATGAAGAGCGA